AAAGGGCGGCAGAGGCTGCACGGGAAGGGGCGGCAGGGACCGTGACTCTGGCCAGGCAAAGGGCAGAGGCCATGGAGACAGGTTTTGCAGGAGTAGGGGCCACGGAACCTGCTGCTGTGTCGGCTGGGGGAACCGCAGCAGAGGAGGCTATAGGGACCGCACCAGGCGAGGCCGCACAGACCACAGCAGGTGTGGCTGCAGGGATCACAACGGGTGAGGCTGCAGGAGGGACCATGGCAGGTGAAGCCGCAGGGAGCGCAGTAGGTGAGGCTGCAGGGAGCGCAGCAGGTGAGGCTGTAGGGAGCGCAGCAGGTGAGGCTGCAGAGAGCGCAGCAGGGTGAGGCCGGAAGGGAGCGCAGCAGGCGAGGCTGCAGGGAGCGCAGCAGGCTGAGGCTGGGGGGAGCGCAGCAGGCGGGGCTGCAGGGGCCGCAGCAGGTGAGCGGCTGCGGCGGACGCAGCAGGTGAGGCTGCGAGGGCTGCATCATGTAAGTTGGGCAGACTCTAGCAGGTGAGGCTGCACAGTCTACAGCTGGTGAGGTCGCAGGGACTGCAACAGGTGAGGCCGCAGGGACTGCAGCAGGTGAGGCTGCAGGGACCACAGCGGATGAGGCTGCAGGCGGGACCAGGGCAGGTGAGGCCGCAGGGAGCGCAGCAGGTGAGGCTGAAATAGCCGCAGCAGGTGAGGCTGCAGAGGCCGCAGCATGTGAGGTTGAGCAGATTCTAGCAGGTGAGGCCGCACAGACTGCAGCAGGTGAGGCCGCAGGGACTGCAGCAGGTGAGGCTGCAGGGACTGCAGCACGTGAGGCTGCAAGGACCGCGGCAGGCAAGGCTGCAGGGATCGCGGCTGGTGAGGCTGAGCAGATTACGGCAGGCGAGGTTTTACAGACTGCAGCAGTCGAGGCTGCAAGGACTGCAGCAGGAGCGACAGAGGCCACAGGGGGCCGGTCAGGGGGAGGTGCTACGGGTGCAGCGGGGAAGGGGGTAACGGGGACTGGTGCGAGGGAGAGTGCTGCCCCGGCTGTAGCAAGAGAGGGTACGCAGGGCTAGAGTGGGAGAAGGGACAACAGTGGCCTCAAAGGTAGAAGGTGAGGCTGTAGCTGAAGCAGCAGGGAGGGCCATAGCACGGCCAGTAGGGGCGGCAGGGGCCGCAGCAAACGCGGGGAAACACACAGCAGGGCCGGCAGAGACTGCAAAAGGGGCTAGCAGTAAAGCGGCAGCAGGCGGGGTGGGCTCGGAGGACATAGGGGCAACAGGGGAAGGAGAGGTGAGTGTGGTCCCGACCGGGGTGGGCACTGAAGAGGGGGATGTGATAGCGATAGAGGAGGATGAGGGAGAGGATGTGATGCACATTGACGGGCCCTGGCCCAATACCTCACGCCTGACGGTGAGGCCGACCCGGCCCCCCTGCAGCCTCACGTCGAGGTTCCCCCTCTACCCCCCATGCCCGTCCCCATGCTAGCAGCAGAAGGACCGATGGAGGGGCTGGGGGAGACCTTGAGGACAGAGCCGCACGAGGGAGCCCCCATCCTCACCTCCCGTCCCCCAGCCCACCCACCCCCAGGAGCACCACTTCCCCACCCCCACCCTCAGGTCCCGGTAGTATCCAGGGGGGCAGCCAAGGCCCTGGCCTTCTTGGCGGAGCCGTGCTCCCCGACCCCCACGTTGCTCCATGGCCAGCCCCCCTCTCCGTCCCAACCCCTGACCCCACGGTTGCAGGCGGTCCACCGGGAGAGCACGCGGGTGCGACAAGAGCAGAGTCACCCGAGGGCACCCCTTCTCTCACCTCTCACCCCTCCCCGCCCCTTCCCTCACTCTCCCCTCACCCCCAAGGGCAGCACACCTCTGCCCCCACCCTCAGGGGCTCCTTAGAGCACCACGTGGAGCAGCCAGGGCTCTGGCCTTCCTAGAGGAGCCATGCTCCCCGACTCCTACCAACACCCAGCCACCCCCTACCGGCCACCTACCCCCCCTCCACCAGGCCCCCCCCACCCGGTAGTACACACATCTCGAGGTTGAAGCATCTCTGCGGCCAAATCCCTCTCCCACACGCTACAGGCACCCAAACCACCCGAGTCGCCGCACAGCCCCAATACGCCCACCCAACAGGCTGCCCCCCTCACACCACCCCCCCCAGGCAGCCGAGACCCACCCACAAGGGCTTGCGCCCCAGGCTCATGGGAGCGGCGGCACCCGGGTAGAGGGGCCCACAGGAGAGGCCACCATCAGAGCCCACACAAATCTCTCTCCCCCCACCGCTTGTACCTCGCTCTAACCTCCCACACTGGCCCAGCCCCTCGACCCCCACCTCCAACCCCCCCTCCCGGGCCGGGTTCCCCACGAGTGGCCCCGTTGGGCAGCCATCACCCCCACACACAGCCTGCCCGATCTGTTCCCACGGAGGGGGATGTTTCGAGGAGAGAGGGATGCACACACAGAGCACCCCCCGCCCGGCGAACCACCCATCCTCCCTCCAACCCACCCCTTTGGCCCCACAGCCCCCCCTTCCTTCACAAACAGGCGCGACAACCAGGTTGGCCGCCGGCGGAAGAACAGGGGCAGAGGAGGCAGAGGTTCAGCCCACGTACTCCCCCTCCCTCCCCTCCCCCACCAAGAGCCCCTCCCCACCCCGCATCCCGTTGAACCCTTACCAGGCCCTACCTCTACAGCCCGACCACCAAACCCTACACTCCCGCCCCGCTCCTGCACCTCCACAGGGCCATGGGAGCGGACCAGCCCACTCACCCCCATTCTGCCCCTCTCGTGCTGTGTCCCCCTCCCAGGTGGCGGCGGCCCGCGATCGCTACTGGGATGGAGGCCGTCGGGTTGAGGGATGCGCCCATGGAAGACTGCCACCGACTCCCCCTCCCATCCCTCCCACCCCTTCCACTGTCGACGACCCCCTACCGCAACCCATGGTGATTGGGGAGGGCCAAGGGGGCCTTCTAGGGCAGGGTCCACACCTGAGCTCCGCCTCAGCCAGCAAGCCCCACCCCACCCTCTACCCTGCCAGCCCTCCTACTCTCACCTACAGGCAGGCAGGTCTTCGAGACCCCAGAGGAGGTGAGGGCTGGCATTTCAGATTTGCTGGCGATACACCGCCCGAGCAGCTCTCCGGCTGCCCCCACCCTTCCAGTCCCACAGGACCGGACCCGGGACGTATGCGGAAGGTCACCCGGTCTGTCCCTTCTTTTCTCCCCCCCGCCACTCAGCCAGGCGCGTCACTCCCGACCCCAATGGAGACGGACCAGGTTCTGAGGCCGTGTCACGCGCACCTAGATGGGTGGCGCCTCCCCCCGTTCAGCCCGTGGCGCAGGAGGTCACCAGCAGTAGGGATGAGGCATCCGCCCCTACCGAGACCCCCTCCGCCTGGGGTAGCAGAGCCGTCACTTGAACCGCACCCCGCCGAGGGGCAGGAGCACACCACGGCACACACTTCAGGCTCACCTCCACGTCCCCCCTCCCCAGCTTCGACACCGGTACCGGCACGAGGCCGGCCCCTATCCTGTGCGACACCACCTCTATCTTCGCTGACACCCCCCTGCACGCACGGGGCTGGTGAGTCGTCTCCTCCCCTCATCCCAGGCGATCCTCTCGGAGCTCAGGCCGCCCACGGGGTCCCCTCTACAGCCAGTTCCGACGCCACGGCCCCGATTGACCCCGCCGACACGGCGACATCACCCGACCAGGTCGTGAGTTGCCCCACCTGCAGGAGCTCTCTCGCGAACCGACGCGCGCTCCAGCACCACATTCCCTTCTGCCATCCTGCGGACGCGGCTCGCAGGGCGCAGGCTGCCCAGGACACCGCCTCGATCATCCCTTCCCTCTCACAGCCCCGTGCGACCGGGATACAGTTTCACCGACGCACAGTGGCAGACGCTCGACTCGGTGGACTGGACAGAGTACTTCTCGCCCGAGCGTATCCACTGCACGCCCTCTCCGACGTAGTCCCGGAGAGGGTCCGCGGAGGATATCTCGACGTCCTCAGTGCGATCCTAGTCCGCATTGCCCCAGGACCCGGAGGCTGCTGGCCCTACCTTCCTCCTCGCTGCAGCGCCGACTCTTTTCCTTGTTCCAGCGACGCCACCCGACCGCTCGCACACGGCTGCCATTGCAACGCGCATCTCCCGCTTTGGTCGAGGTGAGTGGGCTGAGCTAGTCTCAGATGCACTAGGCCGTCGCACACCCCCTTCCTCAGGCGCACAGGTCACCGGTCACGCACCGCCACCGATCCCTCTACAGCAGATGAGCGCCGCATTGCACGTTGCCTTCGTCTGGCAGCGTGCAATGAGACCTCACGGGCGTGCGCGGCTCTCGAGTCCGCGGAGGCAGCCCCAGATACACAGGGGACGATACAGCGCCTGCAGTCGAAGCACCCCAACGCGGAGAGGCCGACCCCAGCTTGGCAGTCTGGCTTCCAGGGGTCCCCTCTCGTGCTCTCGGTGGATCACTTACGCCAGCGCGATTTTCACAGCTCCGCGGGGCTCTTCGGGAGGACCGTCCGGTTGGGTCGCTTGAGCACCTGCGAGACACTTTCCTAGCTTTCCCTCAGAGTCTCCATTTCCTCCTGGCCGTGTACCAGCAGTGGCTCCGAGGCCGTTGCGCTCCAGCTACGCGCTCCTTGCTAGCGTCTTCCACCCTCGTGGCTCTGGCGAAGTCGAACATGGATGTTCGGCCGATTGCCATCGGCGAGGTTTTGGTCCGCATTCTTTCTCGTGCAGTCTGTCTCCAGCTACGTGACCAGATGGCGAGGGTCTTCTTGGCGTCACAGCAGTTTGGGGTGGGGGTTACGTGCGGGACAGAGGTCGTAGTTAGAGGCGTCCGCCGCGCTCTGGCTGACCACCCCAGACTGGGTGGTCCTGCAGCTAGACGTGGCGAATGCCTTTAACTCCTTCCACCGAGATAGGATGTTCCAGGCGCTGCAGGCCAGCCCGGAGGGGCCCTGATCCCTTCATCGGCCTCTTCTACGGGACGCCCTCGGATCTCCACTACAGGTCAGGCACGGGAGTGGTCACGATGCACTCGGAGCGGGGCACTCGCCAGGGAGACCCTCTCAGCCCCTTCTTGTACGCTCTGACACAGCGTCTTGCTTTGGAGCCGGTTCTGGTGGAGGGGGATGTCCAGCTCTGGTCGTACGCCGATGACACGTACGTGCTAGGTCCCCCAGACAGGGTGCTGCACCACTTTGCCGAGATCGTGAGGCGCTTGGGCGAGATGGGCCTTGCAGCCCAGCCGCACAAGTGCCTCGTCTACCAGACAGAGTCCTTTCTGTCCAGGGATCTGGAGGCCTTCACGGGCCTAGGGATCGAGGTCGCACGCCGAGGGCTCACCGTGACAGGCGTACCAGTAGGCACCGTTTCGTTCGTGGAGCAGAGTCTCCCGGATCGTCTCGAGAGGATGGGGCGGGTGCTACCTTGGCTTCCGAGGTTTGCGCCAGCCCCAGACAGCTGCCCGCCTTCTGTCGGCGTGTGTCAGCACTCGTCCGCAGTACCTGTCGAGGACCGTCCCTCCTTCGCCCGCAGTGATCTCTAGTTTTACACTGGTGGACGCACGCCTGGGAGAGACATTTCAGCAGCTTTTAGCTTCAGGGACCTGGGCTTGTCGCGAGGACGTCCGAGAGGCCGCCCTAGACCAGATCTTCCTCCCCATCCGTCTCGGGGGTTTCGGCATTCGTCGCATGGCACGCATTCGCCCCGGTGAGTTTCGTGTGCTCCTGGGTGCAGTGTGCTCCCATTCTCTGTTCTCTCCCTGCGTGTGGCGAGGTGTTTCGGCAGAGCTTCGCTTCAGGTGAGCCAGAGCAGATCGACCGGGCTCTGCAGACGGCGCTAGAGGGTCTCCCACCCTGACGTTCTCTCTCTCCTTCCCCCCTGGCCCTCTTGCGCTTCTGCCTCCCCCGATTCCCTTTTTGCAGGAGCGAGCCGTCTTCTGGAGGCGCAGGCCTTGGAGGCCGTGCGTGCCCGTCACGCCTCTCCCTTGCACCTTGCCCGTTTGACTTCCCTTCAGGGCGGAGGTGCAGGGGCGTGGTTGACGTCGGTGCCGTACGCTGACCCACTGCGGCATCCCGGAGGCGCTGTGGCAGGCGGCTTCATCTTCTCGTCTCGGTCTCCCTATCCCCCAGTTAGCCCTTGCAGGTCAGTGCTCCTGCGGACAGGCGATTGACGACATGACGGTGCCTCATCACGCGGTTCGGTGCCCGCGCTACGGGGGTCGCCACTACCATCCACGACACGGTGAAGTACATGCTTCGAGACTTTGCGGTCGAGGCGGGCTTCGCGGTAAAGGTGGAGGACTCTACGCTGTTCACACAGTTGGAGGCGGCTCGAGCGAGACTACTGGGACAGCCAGTGGTGGGAGAGGGGACGCGGGCTGAGGGACCGGGGGAGCAGAGAGGCGAGGCGGGACAGCCGGGTGGCGGGGGACAGTGGGGACAGCACCAGCTGCGGGGTCAGGTGGAGCGAGGGATAGGTGGGCAGGAGGGGACGGCAGGGGGAGCAGACGGGCCAGGACGGGGAGGGGAGACAGCACAGGCAGCAGCAGGAAGAGCCAGTGGAGGCCGCGGGCCCAGGGCGCCGCGCCTCCAGGTTCGGCCTCGGAGGTGGGGCAGGGGCGGGAGCAGCAGAGAGCGGACGGAGGTACAGGAGGGGCAGCGGGATTGGGAGGGGAGGGCCAGGGAGTGAGAGAGGCAGCAGGGGATGGAGCAGGGGGGTCGGGAGGGTTGGGGGAGGGTAGAGAGGGGGAGGGGAGAGGACAGGTGGATGGAGGAGAGGAGAGGGGGAGAGAGACGATCGGAGAGGAGGCACCAAGGGACCAGACAGGGCAGCAGCCAGCGCAACAGCAGGGACCAGTCGGACAGCACAGGCCGTGTAGGCACCGGCCTCCCGCATCCCAGACCTCACCTGCCGCGACGTTAGCCAGGGTCTGATGGTTCTTGTGGATGTCTCCATAGCGGATCCACAGCGGGAGGGGAACGTGCAGCTGAGACGGGCGACCCCCCACACAGAATTGGAGTGGCAGCAGCTAGACGGGTGCAGGAGAAGCTGCGGCACTGGGGGCCGCACTTAGAGGGGCTGCAGCCGGCACCACACTTTTACGCGTGCGTGGCGGAGACCTTTGGCCTTCTGCAGTGAGCCGCTGCGTCAGTTTCTGGGGCTCTGCGCAAAGAGGATAGCACAGCGGAGGAGGGATAGAGGTGGGGGGGATGACGGATCGGCACGGATATTTGAGGCAGGACTCACTACACGCCTCTCCGTTGCACTGCAGCGCGCGCAGGCTCAATGCATGATCCAGCATGCGGTGCGGCAGTTAGGGAGGATCCGACGACGGGTGGATGCCCGCACCAAGTCCCACTGGGTGCGGGGCAGGGTACTTGGCACCAACGTCACGGGGTGCTTCGAGAGTGTGGCTGATATGCAGTATATATATGATGCATATGTGTAAAAAAACAATAGTGGCTGTGCTTGAAACGCTGTGCCCGTGCGGTCCGTGCGGGTTGCTGCCGTGTTGTGGTCCTTTGGTGCTTCCTCCTCCTTAGTCTCTCTCCCTCTCTCCTCTTCTCTTCCCACCTCCCTCTTTCTGTTCCCTTCTTCTATCCTTCCCTTCTCTTCCTACCACCCTCTTCTTTTACCTACCACTTCTTCTTACTCCTTCATCCTTCCTTCCTTTCCTTTCTTTCCCCCTTTTCCTACAAAATATATACCGTCCTCATAGCGATTAGGCTATGTCGAAATTTCCTAGTCTTGGAAAAACCATTATATTCGGCGTGTATTTGCTCTTCCCCTATTAATGAATAACTGCTCTCGCCCACCGGCGCTTAGCTTCGGAGTTCTGATGGGATCCGGCGTAGTAGCCGAGGTATGATCGTACCACGTCAACCTCGTGCCCCGACCGCTACACACCCCTTGCCGGGTCCCCCCCCTTCATAGTCACACCCCCTGCCCCCTCATGCCATCCGCTCCCCCCCGCCCCTACCCTCCGCGTGCCCGCTCCCTTGCCGCCTCTTTTGACCCTCCCTGCCCCCCCTCGCCGTTTCCCACCGCCCGCCATTCGCTCCTCCCCGCCCGTGCGCTCCCCTCCTTTACCTTCTCCTCCCCCCTCCCCTCCTCTGCTGCACGCCTCTTCCTTCCCCTCGCCGACCCACTCCACTCCCTGCCCCTCCTCAATCCGCACCCTGCCCCTCGTATCTCGCCCCCCTATGCTTGGTTTCTCCCCTCCCTGCCCCTTCGCCGCCTTTCCCCGCTCCCCACCTCCCCCCTCTCCCTGCCCCCCCCACTCTCCCCCCCCTTGTCCTTGGCTTCCTACCTCCCTGCCTCACCTTTCCCCCCTCCGTGTGCTCAGCTTCTCCCCTCCCTGCCCCTCCCTCCTCCCCGCCCTGCCCCTCATTTTCCGCCCCCCCCCACGCCCGGTTTCTCCCCTCCCCGCGCCTCCCTTTCTTTCTCCGTGCCTCTCCTTTGCTCCCTCCCTGCCCCCGCCTGCCCATGCCCCTGTCTTTGGCTTCTCCCCTCCCTGCCCCACGTTTCTTCCCTCCCTGCCCCCCGTCTGCCCCTCCCTTGTTTTCCCCTCACCCATTGCTTCTCTCCTCCCTGCCCTTGATTTCCCACACCCCTGCCCTCGTTTCCTATCATCCATGCCCCTCGTTTCCCCCCTTTGTACGTTCAGCCTCTTCCCTCCCTGCCCCTCCCTTCCTCCCCCCCTGCCCTTTGCTCTCCCCTCGTTACGCTCCCTTCTCCCCATCCCTGCTGCCCTCTTACCACCATCAGCCCATCCCCACGACCAGCCCCCCTCCCACCCTTCAATCCCCCCTCCTCTCTCCCTCTCTCTCTCTCTCTCTCTCTCTCTCTCTCTCTCTCCCCTCTCTTTCTCAGCACACACACACACACGCACACTCCCCTCCCCCACCCCCCCCATACATCCTCCCATTCTGCCCCTCCCTGCCCCTTTCCCACCCCCTCGCACGCCCCTCACCTCCCACCTCCGTGCAACTGGTTTCCCCCCTATGGTGCCACCCTTGCATCGCTCGCCCCTCTGCCTCACCCTCTGCACGCCCCTTTTCCGTGCCCTCAGTTGGCCCAGCCCCTGCCCGTTGCTGCCCCTCCCCTTGCCCCCTCAACTCCCCTGCCCCCCGTACACCCCAAGTCCCATCCAACCGCCCCCACCCTCCCCCGGCTGCCCGTTTCCGCTCTCCACCCCCCGCGACCGTGTGCGGCTTCCAACCGCCCAACGGTGGTGCGCACGGGGCGTTTCTTCGCACGGGCAAGCCTCCCCGGGGGCCCCCCCACCCCGCTGGGGTCGTTGTTTGGGGCAAAAAAACGAAAATGAAAGAATCGGACCGCGCTAAAATCGTCCTTTCTTTTTCCCCGCTTGCCCCTCCCCCGGCGCGTGCCGAGCAAGGGGCATAAATGGGTACAACACGGGGACTTCCCGGGAGGTCACCCAGCCCAGTACTGCTCTCGCCCACCGGCGCTCTTACCTTGACCTAGCTTACCTAGCCATGGCTGCCTACTAAGGAGCCTCCTAAACCTACTATTTCGAGTTGCTTAAAGACAAAGTGATTGTGATAGTTGTTTATGTTATAGTTATAAGCGTTTCCAACTGGTTAGTTTTTTTAGTTTCGACTGTCGAGTTCGACGGGACGGGGGTCGCGAGTTTCGCTGCGCGACCCTAGGAGTCTCGGAAACGGAACTCGCGGGGTGTTACTGAACCGCTCGTTCGACCCCGCCATCGCGGGAAGGCTGCGGACGCGCTGCAGCCGGTGTAACGGGAGGTGGGGGCGTTGACGCGAAGTTCGCCCGCGGAGTGTAACAGCGCGCGCGACTCACAACCACAACTCCGCCAGACACGGTGTTCCCTCCCATCCCCTCTCTCGACACTCTCCCTTATCCCCCCGCTCTTTTCTGCCCACGGCTTTGCTATTCGAAGCGATTAGCAAATACCGAGTCACTTCCCGCGGTTTCCCTCTCTCGAAGTCACTGAGCTTAGCTTCCGCCCGTAGTTAGCATTCTTCCTTCCCTTTCAGTGCGCCCTTCTTTATCGAAACCCTAATTCGAAGAGCCGCGCGTTTTCAAGCACGCTTTCTCGTCGCCTATCACGCTTAGTCACGCACTCTTTTTTTTCCCCGCCCGTTCAATCTAGCCGCGACGTAGACGGAACCGCGCACGGGGCGCTCACCGCCAGGAAAGGCAGCGCGGAGGGAGGCGAAATTGCTACGTTCGTAGCGATTAAACAGCCCTCCCCTTGCGCGCCTCCCGAAGCGCGTTTTCTGCCTAGAGCGTTTTAGCCGCCCACGTTTGGCACACAAGCCGCCCCACTCCCCCCTTTGCTCACTCCCACCCTGCCATGCCTCGTCGCGCACTCGTGCATGCCACCCACACGTCGTAATCTTACCCGTCGCCACCCTCATAGTCACCTCTCTGCTCACACCGCCCCTTTCCCCCTCACACGCACGCTTTAGCCACCCCGCCACCTAACCTCTTTCCCTAACGGCGCTTAGCTAGCAGAGGCCGCCCTGTCTCTGGAAACCGTAGGAAATAAGAGGAAACAACTTCAAGGAAAAAAGAAAAGAAAAAAGAAATTCATATGAATCGGAAAAAATCCAGGAAAATCAGAAAGGCAGCTTACACCTTGTTCTCCCAACCCTCCAGGGCCCCATCCAGTCCACCACCCCCCCATTCTGTTTCATCATACTACACCACACCCTCCCCTTTTGCCCACCAGCATTACCGCCCCTCTCCCCTTATCCCCCACCACGCCCCCAAGCAGGCCTTTCTCCCCCCAGCCCCCCGTCTCCCTGCCCTTAGTACCGCCGCGCTCTGCCCGCGCGTCACCCTCGCCCACTTCATACCACCTCCCCCTTCTCCCCCCCCCGGCTTCCCCCTATCATCACCCGCATGTTCCCCCACTCCCCTGTCCACAACGTCCCTCCTCCACCCCCCCTCCTGCCTTCCCCACTCCCACTCTGTCCCCCACACCTCTACGAGCCGTACCTCCCCCTCCAGCCTCCCTTTTCCCCCCCAGCTATTTCCGCATCCAGCGTGGGCTGCACCTCTGCATCCTGCCCTGCCAGGCCCTCCGAGGACCCAACTGCCGCCACCTGACACCACGCCGCCTTTCCCACCCCCATCCAATCTCTACACCCCTGCCCCTGCTCCCTGCGCAATCCAGCCACCTACCCCAGCCTCCCTCTACCTCTCCCTAACTCCACGCTGCCGTTCCTACCCCCAGCCAGGGTCTACACCCTTGCTTTTGCTCCCTGTGCTGTGCCGTCCCCACCTCCGTCCGCCTTTCCGCGGCACCAGACCGCCTCTCCCTCCCCCAGCCAACCTCTGCACCCCCTGTTCCTGCCCCTTGTGCCTTCCAACACCCTACCCCAACCCCCCCCAGTCTCCCCCTTCTCCAACACCCTCCATATTTCCTCCCCCCTGGGGCTCGCCCATCCGCAGGTATCACCCTTCATCAATTCCCCAATTCCCTCTGTCCCCTGTTTCCCGGCCCCGCATCTTTCTCTGCATTTACCACAGCGCCTCCTTTCGGTGCCCTCTCGGCCCTCCCACGTTCTCACCCCCCGCCCTCCAACCTTCTCATTACCCGCTACCAGGCTCACGCCAACCCGACTACCCACTACCCTTTGCCCCTTCCTCTCTGTTCCCCACCCTTCCTCCCCACTTGGCTCCACCTGCCCACCCCCACCTCCCGTGGAATTCTGCCCTGCCCTCCCCACCTCTGGCCCACCACCTGTCCCCACACCCTGCTCACCCACCACTACATCACCCCCGCCCCCCCACCTCCACTACAGCCCGCCAACACTTCCCCTCTCAACCGGCCCCCAGCCCGCCCCCCCCTTGGGCCCCAATCCCCTCCAACTGTCAGGCCCCCTCTACCCTCTCTTCCACCCACTGCGCACCGCTTTCCCCACCCTTTTTCCATTTCCCAAGCTAACCCCCCGCACCCCGGCCTCTGCCAGGGAGTTCCCTTCCCCCTTTGACGCCCTCTTGAGCCAACTCCAGCAACTCACGCCGCCACCGCCAGGCATGCTGCCTCTGTAACAATGCCCAGCACCCCGCGAGTGGGGAAAAGGCAGACCCGGGAGCCCCTCGGCGATCTAGGAGGTCCCGCAGCCGAAGCCACCCCCTACTCTCCCACTCCCCCCACTTCAACAGTCAGGAAGAAACAACACACACTTGACCAAGCGAAAACACTCACACAATCTGATCCTAGGGGCCAGAAGCGTACCCTTGAAGAGGATGGAACAGAGGAACGCCAAGCCCCACTGGAGGAAATACACAAGGAGGAGCCAGCACGCTCAAAACCGCGCCCTACCCCCGCGGCCCCATCCCAGCCTACCCCCCTTCAGGTGACAGCGGGGACGGCACCCATGCATGCCAAGTGGAGAGATCCCCCAACTCTCTCGCTACTTCCCATTCGCAAACCAGATTACTTGTGAAAACACTTAATCCTACTAGCACCCCCAAGCACATAGAAGCGGGAGGGGGCAGAGCCAGGGGGGAACTTGCAGCTAACACTGCACGGGAAGGGGTAAGTGAATGTGTGTGCGAAGGAGCAGCAGAGGCTGCAGAGGATGGGGCAGCAAAGGCTGCACGGGAAGGGGCAATGGGGGGTTGTGGGGGAAGGGGCAGCAGAGGTTGCAGAGGAAAGGGCAGCAGAGGCTGCAAGGGAAGGGGCAGCAGCGGCTGCACGGGAAAGGGCGGCAGAGGCTGCACGGGAAGGGGCGGCAGGGACCGTGACTCTGGCCAGGCAAAGGGCAGAGGCCATGGAGACAGGTTTTGCAGGAGTAGGGGCCACGGAACCTGCAGCTGTGTCGGCTGGGGGAACCGCAGCAGAGGAGGCTATAGGGACCGCACCAGGCGAGGCCGCACAGACCACAGCAGGTGTGGCTGCAGGGATCACAACGGGTGAGGCTTCAGGAGGGACCATGGCAGGTGAAGCCGCAGAGAGCGCAGTAGGTGAGGCTGTAGGGAGCGCAGCAGGGGAGGCTGCAGAGAGCGCAGCAGGTGAGGCCGCAGGGAGCGCAGCAGGCGAGGCTGCAGGGAGCGCAGCAGGCGAGGCTGCGGGGAGCGCAGCAGGCGGGGCTGTAGGGGCCGCAGCAGGTGAGGCTGCGGCGGACGCAGCAGGTGAGGCTGCGAGGGCTGCAGCATGTAAGGTTGGGCAGACTCTCGCAGGTGAGGCTGCACAGTCTACAGCTGGTGAGGTCGCAGGGACTGCAATAGGTGAGGCAGCAGGGACTGCAGCAGGTGAGGCTGCAGGGACCACAGCGGATGAGGCTGCAGGCGGGACCAGGGCAGGTGAGGCCGCAGGGAGCACAGCAGGTGAGGCTGAAATAGCCGCAGCAGTTGAGGTTGAGCAGATTCTAGCAGGTGAGGCCGCACAGACTGCAGCAGGTGAGGCCGCAGGGACTGCAGCAGGTGAGGCTGCAGGGACTGCTGCACGTGAGGCTGCAGGGACCCGCGGCAGGCAAGGCTGCAGGGACCGCGGCTGGTGAGGCTGAGCAGATTACGGCAGGTGAAGTTTTACAGACTGCAGCAGTCGAGGCTGCAAGGACTGCAGCAGGAGCGACAGAGGCCACAGTGGGGGCCGGTACAGGGGGAGGTGCTACGGGTGCAGCGGGGAAGGGGGTAACGGGGACTGGTGCTGAGGGAGAGTGCTGCCTCGGTTGTAGCAAGAGAGGGTACGGCAGGGGCTAGAGTGGGAGAAGGGATCAGCAGTGGCCTCAAAGGCAGAAGGTGAGGCTGCAGCTGAAGCAGCAGGGAGGGCCATAGCACGGCCAGTAGGGGCGGCAGGGGCCGCAGCAAACGCGGGGAAACACACAACAGGGCCGGCAGAGACCGCAAAAGGGGCTAGCAGTAAAGCGGCAGCAGGCGGGGTGGGCTCGGGGGACATAGGGGCAACAGGGGAAGGAGAGGTGAGTGTGGTCCCGACCGGGGTGGGCACGGAAGAGGGGGATGTGATAGCGATAGAGGAGGATGAGGGAGAGGATGTGATGCACATTGACGGGCCACTGGCCCAATACCTCACGCCTGACGGTGAGGCCGACCCGGCCCCCGTGCAGCCTCACGTCGAGGTTCCCCCTCTACCCCCCATGCCCGTCCACATGCTAGCAGAAGGACCGATGGAGGGGCTGGGGGAGACCTTGAGGACAGAGCCGCACGAGGGAGCCCCCATCCTCACCTCCCGTCCTCCAGCCCACCCACCCCCAGGAGCACCATTTCCCCACCCCCACCCTCAGGTCCCGGTAGTATCCAGGGGGGCAGCCAAGGCCCTGGCCTTCTTGGCGGAGCCGTGCTCCCCGACCCCCACGTTGCTCCATGGCCAGCCCCCCTCTCCGTCCCCAACCCCTGACCCACGGTTGCAGGCGGTCCACCGGGAGAGCACGCGGGTGCGACAAGAGCAGAGTCACCCGAGGGCACCCCTTCTCTCACCTCTCACCCCTCCCCGCCCCTTCCCTCACTCCTCCCCTCACCCCCAAGGGCAGCACACCTCTGCCCCCACCCTCAGGGGCTCCTTAGAGCACCACGTGGAGCAGCCAGGGCTCTGGCCTTCCTAGAGGAGCCATGCTCCCCGACCCCTACCAACACCCAGCCACCCCCTACCGGCCCACTACCCCCCCCTCCACCAGGCCCCCCCCCACCCGGTAGTACACACATCTCGGAGGTTGAAGCATCTCTGCGGCCAAATCCCTCTCCCACACGCTACAGGCACCCAACCACCCGAGTCGCCGCACAGCCCCAACACGCCCACCCAACAGGCTGCCCCCCTCACACCACCCCCCCCAGGCAGCCGAGACCCACCCGCAAGGGCTTGCGCCCCAGGCTCATGGGAGCGGCGGCACCCGGGTAGAGGGGCCCACAGGAGAGGCCACCACAGAGCCCACACAAACCCCTCTCCCCCCACCGTTTGTACCTCGCTCTAACCTCCACACTGGCCCAGCCCCTCGACCCCCACCTTCAACCCCCCCTCCCGGCCGGGTTCCCCACGAGTGGCCCCGTTGGGCAGCCATCACCCCCCACACACAGCCTGCCGATCTGTCCCCACGGAGGGGGATGTCTCGAGGAGAGAGGGGATGCACACAGAGCACCCCCCGCCCGGCGAACCACCCATCCTCCCTCCAACCACCCCTTTGGCCCCACAGCCCCCCCTTCCTTCACAAACAGGCGCGGACAACCGGGTTGGCCGCCGGCGGAAGAACAGGGGCAGAGGAGGCAGAGGGTCAGCCCACGTACTCCCCCCTCCCTCCCTCCCCCACCAAGAGCCCCTCCCCACCCCGCATCCTGTTGAACCCTTACCAGGCCCTACCGCTACAGCCCGACCACCAAACCCACACTCCCGCCCCGCTCCTACACCTCCACAGGGCCATGGGAGCGGACCAGCCCACTCTCCCCCATTCTGCCCCTCCCTTGCTGTGTCCCCCTCCCAGGTGGCGGCGGCCGCGATCGCTACGGGGATGGAGGCCGTCGGGTTGAGGGATGCGCCCATGGAAGACGCCACCGACTCCCCCTCCCATCCCTCCCACCCCTTCCATGTCGACGACCCCCCTACCGCAACCCATGGTGATTGGGGAGGGCCAAGGGGGCCTTCTAGGGCAGGGTCCACACCCGAGCTCCGCTCAGCCAGCAAGCCCCACTCCACCCTCTACCCTGCCAGCCCTCCTACTCTCACCTACAGGCAGGCAGGTCTTCGAGACCCCAGAGGAGGTGAGGGCTGGCATTTCAGATTTGCTGGCGATACACCGCCCGAGCAGCTCTCCGGCTGCCCCCACCCTCCCAGTCCCACAGGACCGGACCCGGACGTATGCGGAGGTCACCCGGTCTGTCCCTTCTTTTATCCCCCCCTGCCACTCAGCCAGGCGCGTCACTCCCGACCCCAATGGAGGACGGACCAGGTTCAGAGGCCGTGTCACGCGCACCTAGATGGGGTGGCGCCTCCCCCCGTTCAGCCCGTGGCGCAGGAGGTCACCAGCAGTAGGGATGAGGCATCCGCCCCTACCGAGACCCCTCCGCCTGGGGTAGCAGAGCCGTCACTTGAACCGCACCTCGCCGAGGGGCAGGAGCACACCACGGCACACACTTCAGGCTCACCCCCACGTCCCCCCTCCCCAGCTTCGACACCGGTTCCGGCACGAGGCCCGGCCCTATCCTGTGCGACACCACCTCTATCTTCGCTGACACCCCCCATGCACGGGGTTGGTGAGTCGTCGCCTCCCCTCATCCCAGGCGATCCTCTCGGAGCTCAGGCCGCCCACGGGGTCCCCTCTACAGCCAGTTCCGACGCCACGGCCCCGATTGACCCCGCCGACACGGCGACATCACCCGACCAGGTCGTGAGTTGCCCCACCTGCAGGAGCTCTCTCGCGAACCGACGCGCGCTCCAGCACCACTTTCCCTTCTGCCATCCTGCGGACGCGGCTCGCAGGGCGCAGGCTGCCCATGACACCGCCTCGATCATCCCTTCCCTCTCACAGCCCCGTGCGACCGGGATACAGTTCACCGACGCACAGTGGCAGACGCTCGACTCGGTGGACAAGACAGAGTACTTCTCGCCCGAGCGTATCCATGCACGCCCTCTCCGACGTGTCCCGGAGAGGGTCCGCGGAGGATATCTCGACGTCCTCAGTGCGATCCTAGTCCGCATTGCCCAGGACCCGGAGGCTGCTGGCCCTACCTTCCTCCTCGCCGCAGCGCCGACTCTTTTCCTTGTTCCAGCGACGCCACCCCGACCGCTCGCACACGGCTGCCATTGCAACGCGCATCTCCCGCTTTGGTCGAGGTGAGTGGGCTGAGCTATTCTCAGATGCACTAGGCCGTCGCACACCCCTTCCTCGGCGCACAGGTCACCGGTCACGCACCGCCACCGATCCCTCTACAGCAGATGAGCGCCGCATCGCACGTTGCCTACGTCTGGCAGCGTGCAATGAGACCTCACGGGCGTGCGCGGCTCTCGAGTCCGCGGAGGCAGCCCCAGATACACAGGGGACGATACAGCGCCTGCAGTCGAAGCACCCCAACGCGGAGAGGCCGACCCCAGCTTGGCAGTCTGGCTTCCAGGGGTCCCCTCTCGTGCTCTCGGTGGACCACTTACGCCGCGCGATTTTCACAGCTCCGCGGGGCTCTTCGGGAGGACCGTCCGGTTGGGTCGCTGAGCACCTGCGAGACACTTTCCTAGCTTTCCCCAGAGTCTCCATTTCCTCCTGGCCGTGTACCAGCAGTGGCTCCGAGGCCGTTGCGCTCCAGCTACGCGCTCCTTGCTAGCGTCTTCCACCCTCGTGGCTCTGGCGAAGTCGAACATGGATGTTCGGCCGATTGCCATCGGCGAGGTCTTGGTCCGCATTCTTTTCTCGTGCAGTCTGTCTCCAGCTACGTGACCAGATGGCGAGGGTCTTCTTGGCGTCACAGCAGTTTGGGGTGGGGGTTACGTGCGGGACAGAGGTCGTAGTTAGAGGCGTCCGCCGCGCTCTGGCTGACCACCCAGACTGGGTGGTCCTGCAGCTAGACGTGGCGAACGCCTTTAACTCTTTCCACCGAGACAGGATGTTCCAGGCGCTGCAGGCCAGCCCGGAGTTCCAGTGCCTGATCCCCTTCATCGGCCTCTTCTACGGGACGCCCTCGGATCTCCACTACAGGTCAGGCACGGGAGTGGTCACGATGCACTCGGAGCGGGGCACTCGCCAGGGAGACCCTCTCAGCCCCTTCTTGTACGCTCTGACACAGCGTCTTGCTTTGGAGCCGGTTCTGGTGGAGGGGGATGTCCAGCTCTGGTCGTACGCCGATGACACGTACGTGCTAGGTCCCCCAGACAGGGTGCTGCACCACTTTGCCGAGATCGTGAGGCGCTTGGGCGAGATGGGCCTTGCAGCCCAGCCGCACAAGTGCCTCGTCTACCAGACAGAGTCCTTTCTGTCCAGGGATCTGGAGGCCTTCACGGGCCTAGGGATCGAGGTCGCACGCCGAGGGCTCACCGTGACAGGCGTACCGGTAGGCACCGTTTCGTTCGTGGAGCAGAGTCTCCCCGGATCGTCTCGAGAGGATGGGGCGGGTGCTACCTTGGCTTCCGAGGTTGCGCCAGCCCCAGACAGCTGCCCGCCTTCTGTCGGCGTGTGTCAGCACTCGTCCGCAGTACCTGTCGAGGACCGTCCCTCCTTCGCCCGCAGTGATCTCTAGTTTTACACGGTGGGGACGCACGCCTGGGAGAGACATTTCAGCAGCTTTTAGCTTCAGGGACCTGGGCTTGTCGCGAGGACGTCCGAGAGGCCGCCCTAGACCAGATCTTCCTCCCCCATCCGTCTCGGGGGTTTCGGCATTCGTCGCATGGCACGCATTGCCCCGGTGAGTTTCGTGTGCTCCTGGGTGCAGTGTGCTCCCATTCTCTGTTCTCTCCCTGCGTGTGGCGAGGCGTTTCGGCAGAGCTTCGCTTCAGGTGAGCCAGGGCAGATCGACCGGGCTCTGCAGACGGCGCTAGAGGGTCTCCCACCTGACGTTCTCTCTCTCCTTCCCCCCTGGCCCTCTTGCGCTTCTGCCTCCCCCGATTCCCTTTTTGCAGGAGCGAGCCGTCTTCTGGAGGCGCATGCCTTGGAGGCCGTGCGTGCCCGTCACGCCTCTCCCTTGCACCTTGCCCGTTTGACTTCCCTTCAGGGCGCAGGTGCAGGGGCGTGGTTGACGTCGGTGCCGTACGCTGACCCACTGCGCATCCCGGAGGCGCTGTGGCAGGCGGCTTCATCTTCTCGTCTTGGTCTCCCTATCCCCCAGTTAGCCCTTGCAGGTCAGTGCTCCTGCGGACAGGCGATTGACGACATGACGGTGCCTCATCACGCGGTTCGGTGCCCGCGCTACGGGGTCGCCACTACCATCCACGACACGGTGAAGTACATGCTTCGAGACTTTGCGGTCGAGGCGGGCTTCGCAGTAAAGGTGGAGGACTCTACGCTGTTCACACAGTTGGAGGCGGCTCGAGCGAGGACTACTGGGACAGCCAGTGGTGGGAGAGGGGACGCGGGCTGAGGGACCGGGGGAGCAGAGAGGCGAGGCGGGATCGCCGGGTGGCGGGGGACAGTGGGGACAGCACCAGCTGCGGGGTCAGGTGGAGCGAGGGATAGGGGGGCAGAGGGGTCCGCAGGGGGAGCAGACGGGCCAGGACGGAGAGGGGAGACGGCACAGGCAGCAGCAGGAGAGCCAGGGGAGGCCGCGGGCCCAGGGCGCCGCGCCTCCAGGTTCGGCCTCGGGGGTGGGGCAGGGGCGGGAGCAGCAGAGAGCGGACGGAGGTACAGGAGGGGCAGCGGGATTGGGAGGGGAGGGCCAGGGAGTGAGAGAGGCAGCAGGGGATGGAGCAGGGGGGTCGGGAGGGTTGGGGGAGGGTAGAGAGGGGGAGGGGAGAGGACAGGTGGATGGAGGAGAGGAGAGGGGGAGAGAGACGATTGGAGAGGAGGCACCAAGGGACCAGACAAGGCAGCAGCCAGCGCAACAGCAGGGACCAGTCGGACGCACAGGCCGTGTAGGCACCGCCTCCCGCATCCCAGACCTCACCTGCCGCGACGTTGGCCAGGGTCTGATGGTTCTTGTGGATGTCTCCATAGCGGATCCATAGCGCGAGGGGAACGTGCAGCTGAGACGGGCGACCCCCACACAGATTGGAGTGGCAGCAGCTAGACGGGTGCAGGAGAAGCTGAGGCACTGGGGGCCGCACTTAGAGGGGCTGCAGCCGGCACCACAACTTTTACGCGTGCGTGGCGGAGACCTTTGGCCTTTTGAGTGAGCCGCTGCGTCAGTTTCTGGGGCTCTGCGCAAAGAGGATAGCACAGCGGAGGAGGGATAGAGGTGGGGGGGATGACGGATCGGCACGGATATTTGAGGCAGGACTCACTACACGCCTCTCCGTTGCACTGCAGCGCGCGCAGGCTCAATGCATGATCCAGCATGCGGTGCGGCAGTTAGGGGGATCCGACGACGGGTGGATGCCTGCACCAGTCCCACTGGGTGCGGGGCAGGGTACTTGGCACCACGTCACAGGGTGCTTCGAGAGTGTGGCTGATATGCAGTATATATATGATGCATATGTGTAAAAAACAATAGTGGCTGTGCTTGAAACGCTGTGCCCGTGCGGTCGTGCGGGTTGCTGCCGTGTTTTGGTCCTTTGGTGCTTCCTCCTCCTTAGTCTCTCTCCCTTTCTCCTCTTCTCTTCCCACCTCCCTCTTTCTGTTCCCTTCTTCTATCCTTCCCTTCTCTTCCTACCACCCTCTTCTTTTCCCTACCACTTTTTCTTACTCCTTCATCCTTCCTTCCTTTCCTTTCTTTCCCCCTTTTCCTACAAAATATATATACCGTCCTCATAGCGATAAGGCTATGTCGAAATTTCCTAGTCTTGGAAAAACCATTACATTCGGCTTGTATTTGCTCTTCCCCTATTAATGAATAACTGCTCTCGGCCCACCGGCGCTTAGCTTCGGAGTTCTGATGGGATCCGGCGTAGTAGCCGAGGTATGATCGTACCACGTCAACCTCGTGCCCCGACCGCTACAACACCCCTTGCCCGGGTCCCCCCCTTCATAGTCACACCCCCTGCCCCCTCATGCCATCCGCTCCCCCCCCGCCCCTACCCTCCGCGTGCCCGCTCCCTTGCCGCCTCTTTTGACCCTCCCTGCCCCCCCTCGCCGTTTCCCACCGCCCGCCATTCGCTCCTCCCCGCCCGTTGCGCTCCCCTCCTTTACCTTCTCCTCCCCCCCTCCCCTCCTCTGCTGCACGCCTCTTCCTTCCCCTCGCCGACCCACTCCACTCCCTGCCCCTCCTCAATCCGCACCCTGCCCCTCGTATCTCGCCCCCCCTATGCTTGGTTTCTCCCCTCCCTGCCCCTCGCCGCCTTTCCCCGCTCCCCACCTCCCCCCTCTCCCTGCCCCCCCACTCTCCCCCCCCTTGTCCTTGGCTTCCTACCTCCCTGCCTCACCTTTCCCCCCTCCGTGTGCTCAGCTTCTCCCCTCCCTGCCCCTCCCTCCTCCCCGCCCTGCCCCTCATTTTCCGCCCCCCCCCACGCCCGGTTTTCTCCCCTCCCCGCGCCTCCCTTTCTTTCTCCGTGCCTCTCCTTTGCTCCCTCCCTGCCCCCGCCTGCCCATGCCCCTGTCTTTGGCTTCTCCCCTCCCTGCCCCACGTTTCTTCCCTCCCTGCCCCCCGTCTGCCCCTCCCTTGTTTTCCCCTCACCCATTGCTTCTCTCCTCCCTGCCCTTGATTTCCCACACCCCTGCCCTCGTTTCCTATCATCCATGCCCCTCGTTTCCCCCCTTTGTACGTTCAGCCTCTTCCCTCCCTGCCCCTCCCTTCCTCCCCCCCTGCCCTTTGCTCTCCCCTCGTTACGCTCCCTTCTCCCCATCCCTGCTGCCCTCTTACCACCATCAGCCCATCCCCACGACCAGCCCCCCTCCCACCCTTCAATCCCCCCCTCCCTCTCTCTCTCTCTCTCTCTCTCTCTCTCTCTCTCTCTCTCTCTTTCTCACACACACACACACGCACACTCCCCTCCCCCACCCCCCCACGTACATCCTCCCATTCTGCCCCTCCCTGCCCCTTTCCCACCCCCTCGCACGCCCCTCACCTCCCACCTCCGTGCAACTGGTTTCCGCCCTATCCTTCCGTCACTGCATCGCTCGCCCCTCTGCTCACCCTCTGCCCGCCCCTTTTCCGTGCCCTCAGTTGGCCCAGCCCCTGCCCGTTGCTGCCCCTCCCCTTGCCCCCTCAACTCCCCTGCCCCCCGTACACCCCAAGTCCCATCCAACCGCCCCCACCCTCCCCCGGCTGCCCGTTTCCGCTCTCCACCCCCGCGACCGTGTGCGGCTTCCAACCGCCCAACGGTGGTGCGCACGGGGCGTTTTCTTCGCATGGGCAAGCCTCCCCGGGGGCCCCCCACCCCGCTGGGTCGTTGTTTGGGCAAAAAAACGAAAAGAAAAGAATCGGACGCGCTAAAATCGTCCTTTCTTTTTCCCGCTTGCCCCTCCCCCGGCACGTGCCGAGCAAGGGGCATAAATGGGTACAACACGAGGACTTCCCGGGAGGTAAACCAGATTACTTGTGAAAACACTTAATCCTACTAGCACCCCCAAGCACATAGAAGCGGGAGGGGGCAGAGCCAGGGGGAACTTGCAGCTAACACTGCACGGGGAAGGGGTAAGTGAATGTGTGTGCAAAGGAGCAGCAGAGGCTGCAGAGGATGGGGCAGCAAAGGCTGCACAAGAAGGGGCAATGGGGGTGTGGGGGAAGGGGCAGCAGAGGTTGCAGAGGAAAGGGCAGCAGAGGCTGCAAGGGAAGGGGCAGCAGCGGCTGCACGGGAAAGGGCGGCAGAGGCTGCACGGGAAGGGGCGGCAGGGACCGTGACTCTGGCCAGGCAAAGGGCAGAGGCCATGGAGACAGGTTTTGCAGGAGTAGGGGCCACAGAACCTGCAGCTGTGTCGGCTGGGGGAACCGCAGCAGAGGAGGCTATAGGGACCGCACCAGGCGAGGCCGCACAGACCACAGCAGGTGTGGCTGCAGGGATCACAACGGGTGAGGCTGCAGGAGGGACCATGGCAGGTGAAGCCGCAGAGAGCGCAGTAGGTGAGGCTGTAGGGAGCGCAGCAGGGGAGGCTGCAGAGAGCGCAGCAGGTGAGGCCGCAGGGAGCGCAGCAGGCGAGGCTTCAGGGAGCGCAGCAGGCGAGGCTGCGGGGAGCGCAGCAGGCGGGGCTGCAGGGGCCGCAGCAGGTGAGGCTGCGGCGGACGCAGCAGGTGAGGCTGCGAGGGCTGCAGCATGTAAGGTTGGGCAGACTCTAGCAGGTGAGGCTGCACAGGCTACAGCTGGTGAGGTCGCAGGGACTGCAATAGGTGAGGCCGCAGGGACTGCAGCAGGTGAGGCTGCAGGGACCACAGCGGATGAGGCTGCAGGCGGGACCAGGGCAGGTGAGGCCGCAGGGAGCACAGCAGGTGAGGCTGAAATAGCCGCAGCAGTTGAGGTTGAGCAGATTCTAGCAGGTGAGGCCGCACAGACTGCAGCAGGGGAGGCCGCAGGGACTGCAGCAGGTGAGGCTGCAGGGACTGCTGCACGTGAGGCTGCAGGGACCCGCGGCAGGCAAGGCTGCAGGGACCGCGGCTGGTGAGGCTGAGCAGATTACGGCAGGCGAGGTTTTACAGACTGCAGCAGTCGAGGCTGCAAGGACTGCAGCAGGAGCGACAGAGGCCACAGTGGGGGCCGGTACAGGGGGAGGTGCTACGGGTGCAGCGGGGAAGGGGGTAACGGGGACTGGTGTGAGGGAGAGTGCTGCCTCGGTTGTAGCAAGAGAGGGTACGGCAGGGGCTAGAGTGGGAGAAGGGACAGCAGTGGCCTCAAAGGCAGAATGGTGAGGCTGCAGCTGAAGCAGCAGGGAGGGCCATAGCACGGCCAGTAGGGGCGGCAGGGGCCGCAGCAAATGCGAGGAAACACACAGCAGGGCCGGCAGAGACCGCAAAAGGGGCTAGCAGTAAAGCGGCAGCAGGCGGGGTGGGCTCGGGGGACATAGGGGCAACAGGGGAAGGAGAGGTGAGTGTGGTCCCGACCGGGGTGGGCATGGAAGAGGGGGATGTGATAGCGATAGAGGAGGATGAGGGAGAGGATGTGATGCACATTGACGGGCCACTGGCCCAATACCTCACGCCTGACGGTGAGGCCGACCCGGCCCCCCTGCAGCCTCACGTCGAGGTTCCCCCTCTACCCCCCATGCCCGTCCACATGCTAGCAGAAGGACCGATGGAGGGGCTGGGGGAGACCTTGAGGACAGAGCCACACGAGGGAGCCCCCATCCTCACCTCCCGTCCTCCAGCCCACCCACCCCCAGGAGCACCATTTCCCCACCCCCACCCTCAGGTCCCGGTAGTATCCAGGGGGGCAGCCAAGGCCCTGGCCTTCTTGGCGGAGCCGTGCTCCCCGACCCCCACGTTGCTCCATGGCCAGCCCCCCTCTCCGTCCCCAACCCCTGACCCCACGGTTGCAGGCGGCCCACCGGGAGAGCACGCGGGTGCGACAAGAGCAGAGTCACCCGAGGGCACCCCTTCTCTCACCTCTCACCCCTCCCCGCCCCTTCCCTCACTCCTCCCCTCACCCCCAAGGGCAGCACACCTCTGCCCCCACCCTCAGGGGCTCCTTAGAGCACCACGTGGAGCAGCCAGGGCTCTGGCCTTCCTAGAGGAGCCATGCTCCCCGACCCCTACCAACACCCAGCCACCCCCTACCGGCCCACTACCCCCCCCTCCACCAGGCCCCCCCCACCCGGTAGTACACACATCTCGGAGGTTGAAGCATCTCTGCGGCCAAATCCCTCTCCCACACACTACAGGCACCCAAACCACCCGAGTCGCCGCACAGCCCCAACACGCCCACCCAACAGGCTGCCCACCCTCACACCCACCCCCCCCAGGCAGCCGAGGACCCACCCGCAGGGCTTGCGCCCCAGGCTCATGGGAGCGGACCAGCCCACTCTCCCCCATTCTGCCCCTCCCTTGCTGTGTCCCCCTCCCAGGTGGCGGCGGCCGCGATTCGCTACGGGGATGGAGGCCGTCGGGTTGAGGGATGCGCCCATGGAAGACGCCACCGACTCCCCCTCCCATCCCTCCCACCCCTTCCATGTCGACGACCCCTACCGCAACCCATGGTGATTGGGGAGGGCCAAGGGGGCCTTCTAGGGCAGGGTCCACACCCGAGCTCCGCTCAGCCAGCAAGCCCCACTCCACCCTCTACCTGCCAGCCCTCCTACTCTCACCTACAGGCAGGCAGGTTTTCGAGACCCAGAGGAGGTGAGGGCTGGCATTTCAGATTGCTGGCGATACACCGCCCGAGCAGCTCTCCCGGCTGCCCCCACCCTCCCAGTCCCACAGGACCGGACCCGGACGTATGCGGAGGTCACCCGGTCTGTCCCTTCTTTTATCCCCCCCGCCACTCAGCCAGGCGCGTCACTCCCGACCCCAATGGAGACGGACCAGGTTCATGAGGCCGTGTCACGCGCACCTAGATGGGGTGGCGCCTCCCCCCGTTCAGACCCGTGGCGCAGGAGGTCACCAGCAGTAGGGATGAGGCATCCGCCCCTACCGAGACCCCTCCGCCTGGGGTAGCAGAGCCGTCACTTGAACCGCACCTCGCCGAGGGGCAGGAGCACACCACGGCACACACTTCAGGCTCACCCCCACGTCCCCCCTCCCCAGCTTCGACACCGGTTCCGGCACGAGGCCCGGCCCTATCCTGTGCGACACCACCTCTATCTTCGCTGACACCCCCATGCACGGGGTTGGTGAGTCGTCGCCTCCCCTCATCCCAGGCGATCCTCTCGGAGCTCAGGCCGCCCACGGGGTCCCCTCTACAGCCAGTTCCGACGCCACGGCCCCGATTGACCCCGCCGACACGGCGACATCACCCGACCAGGTCGTGAGTTGCCCCACCTGCAGGAGCTCTCTCGCGAACCGACGCGCGCTCCAGCACCACATTCCCTTCTGCCATCCTGCGGACGCGGCTCGCAGGGCGCAGGCTGCCCAGGACACCGCCTCGATCATCCCTTCCCTCTCACAGCCCCGTGCGACCGGGATACAGTTCACCGACGCACAGTGGCAGACGCTCGACTCGGTGGACTGGACAGAGTACTTCTCGCCCGAGCGTATCCATGCACGCCCTCTCCGACGTGTCCCGGAGAGGGTCCGCGGAGGATATCTCGACGTCCTCAGTGCGATCCTAGTCCGCATTGCCCAGGACCCGGAGGCTGCTGGCCCTACCTTCCTCCTCGCTGCAGTGCCGACCCTTTTCCTTGTTCCAGCGACGCCACCCGACCCGCTCGCACACGGCTGCCACTTGCAACGCGCATCTCCCGCTTTGGTCGAGGTGAGTGGGCTGAGCTAGTCTCAGATGCACTAGGCCGTCGCACACACCCCTTCCTCGGCGCACAGGTCACCGGTCACGCACCGCCACCGATCCCTCTACAGCAGATGAGCGCCGCATTCGCACGTTGCCTCCGTCTGGCAGCGTGCAATGAGACCTCACGGGCGTGCGCGGCTCTCGAGTCCGCGGAGGCAGCCCCAGATACACAGGGGACGATACAGCGCCTGCAGTCGAAGCACCCCAACGCGGAGAGGTCCGACCCCAGCTTGGCAGTCTGGCTTCCAGGGGTCCCCTCTCGTGCTCTCGGTGGATCACTTACGCTGCGCAATTTTCACAGCTCCGCGTGGCTCTTCGGGAGGACCGTCCGGTTGGGTCGCTGAGCACCTGCGAGACACTTTCCTAGCTTTCCCTCAGAGTCTCCATTTCCTCCTGGCCGTGTACCAGCAGTGGCTCCGAGGCCGTTGCGCTCCAGCTACGCGCTCCTTGCTAGCGTCTTCCACCCTCGTGGCTCTAGGCGAAGTCGAACATGGATGTTCGGCCGATTGCCATCGGCGAGGTTTTGGTCCGCATTCTTTCTCGTGCAGTCTGTCTCCAGCTACGTGACCAGATGGCGAGGGTCTTCTTGGCGTCACAGCAGTTTGGGGTGGGGGTTACGTGCGGGACAGAGGTCGTAGTTAGAGGCGTCCGCCGCGCTCTGGCTGACCACCCAGACTGGGTGGTCCTGCAGCTAGACGTGGCGAATGCCTTTAACTCCTTCCACCGAGACTGGATGTTCCAGGCGTTACAGGCCAGCCCGGAGTTTCAGTGCCTGATCCCCTTCATCGGCCTCTTCTACGGGACGCCCTCGGATCTCCACTACAGGTCAGGCACGGGAAGTGGTCACGATGCACTCGGAGCGGGGCACTCGCCAGGGAGACCCTCTCAGCCCCTTCTTGTACGCTCTGACACAGCGTCTTGCTTTGGGAGCCGGTTTCTGGTGGAGGGGGATGTCCAGCTCTGGTCGTACGCCGATGACACGTACGTGCTAGGTCCCCCAGACAGGGTGCTGCACCACTTT